CTGCTCTTCCAGAGGACCCACATTCAAATTTCAGCACCCACATGACAGATCATAACTGCCTACAACTCTAGCTTCAGAAGATCTGATGCTCTCTTTTGGCCTCTGAAGGCACTAAGCATGTACATAGTACATACACATACATGTAGACACTCAAATATACACATAAATAAATATTAAAAATTAAATAAATATTCTCTTGTTATGAATATAAACTAATGGAGGGGAGCAGAGAAAAATGCATAGCTCAATCAAGACAATAAGAAAGGAAGTAAACTAAAGAGAACAGACATGTGCACTTGAGATCATATGAGAAGGTGCACATTCTATAACATACATACCTTCAGCTTGCATATGTGTCGGCTTGAAACTGCTATGAGCAAGAAAATAGCTAACCCAAGCCTGTGTTATAGAATAGCTTCCAGCTGCCACTTTATTTTCTGGAATGTTCCCCTTTGGACTCCTGAGCTGCCCTGTGAGAATTCTATCTATCTCCAGACTGCCATGCTACGTGGACCACATATAATAGTTGGTAAGAAGTCTTTTCCAATGGAGCATTCTGGCTATCCCCCAAAGGCCTGAGGCACAAATGATTCCATCTTGCATTGTTTAAAGTGGCCCCGACATAAACTGAGCATCATGCAATGGCTTCTGCCAACACCATGTGATGCACAAAAACCACCAGCTAAGACGTACCTAAGTCCCTTACCTGCAAAAATCAAAAGGAGGATGTATAATAAAAATAGCTGTCGTTTTGTAATATTTCATTCAATTTTGAGGCCGCTTGATATGATGATGGATAACTGAACCAATATAGCACAGAGGTTTGGCAGGAATCCCAAGGCAAGATCGCGGTAATAAACTTGAATTTGTAAACTACTCCGTCAGGTAGCAACACAAACAAAATGTAAAAGGTAATGATGAACTAGAGAGATGCTCTTAAAACTGTGTACAAGAAAGAAAGAAACAGTGGGAAACCTGCCGAGAACAAAACTCAGTTCTCAGAATAAACTTGAGAAGGTAGAAAAGAGGGTAGATATCTCGCGCTATTAGCAGCATAATGGATGCAAATTAGGTAATGAGATAGCTTTTTTGCTGCAGAATTTGCAAGGGGTCTAAAAATGGTCACAATCGTACCTCCAAGCCGACAGTGGAGGCCAGGAGCTTTTTTCACTGCGTGCGAGGAACTGGAGCAACCTTTGAGGAGTTTGGTTTGATGATGTAAATTAAATACCCCTTGTTCAAGTGATCATAATTCTAGAAACGAAGGAAACCCAGTCAAATATGGCTTCTGTTCTATTCACACAATTATTTATAGTTAATGAAAAATGGTAACCAGACTCGACAGTGGAATTGTTGCTGAATTTTGCATCATGCAGTGCAAGAAGCTGACTACAGCATGTTTTCCAAAATACTCAAAGCCAGGAAGATGCATTTCTGGTGGAACTGAATGGCAGTGCTGGAACAGAAGTGGGAGAAAAGTAGTTTTAAAGGTAGTTAAAAAGTTCACAGGAAGGAGAGGCAGGAGGATGGAGAGAGTTCCAGACCAGTCTGAACTTCAGAATGAGTTCAAGATCAGCAGGTTGACCTACACAGTAACCCTGTGTCTGGAGGGAGGGAGGGAGACAGAGACAGAGACAGAGAGACAGAGAGACAGAGAGACAGAGACAGAGAGAAAAAAAATGAAATGGAAAGAAAGCACATAAAAAATTGTCATGGGGCCTAAAAAAACGGCTCTGTACTTAGGAGTACTTGCTGGTCTTCCAGGAGACCAGTTCATTCCCAGTATCTACATGAGGTGGCTCACAACTGGCTGTGACTCCAGTTCCAAGAGATCTGATGCCATTTTCTGTCCCCCATGGGCACCCACAAACGTGACATGTGGCATATACAGGAAGACATAGAGATGCACACACAAATCAATATAGATTTTTTTTTAAGTTGGTCATAGTGCCACGCCTTCATCTCAGCACTCAGGAGGCAGAGGCAGGCAGATCTCTGAGTTCAAGGCCAGCCTTTTCTATAAAGAGAGTTCCAAGATAGCCAGAGCTACCCAGAGAAATCCTACCTAAAAATAAACAAACAAATACATAGTACCCATAGATGGACAAATAGTTTTTAAAAATAAACAGTGGACAGAGATTTTTTAAAAATAAGTGGAGGAGACAGAGAGATGGCTCTGTGGTTAAAAGCACTTGTGACTCTTTCAGAGGACATGAATTAAGTTCCCAGCACCCACATGGCTGGCAATCTTGTGTAAATCCTGTTCCAGAGGATATGATGTCCTCTTCTGACATGACGGGGCTCTGTATACACAGCACACATACATACATGCAGGCAAAACACTCAGCCACATAAAAATAAATAAATTAAATAAAAAGACACCACAGTTTTAACAATGATATGTGAATAAAGGGCCCAAGGAAAAAATATGTTCTTCTTTCTCTTAGGGCTTAGAAGGAAAACCCATAATTCATTGCATTTCCCATTAGGTCCAATCAGGGCCAAGCATACATCCTGACGGACCTCCAGCCTGTGAACCTCCCGCCCACATGTGATCAAGTACATCCAGCTCATATGGGTCAAACAAACTTGTTTAGGGAATGAAAATGTATGACTTGTTATCTCCCATAAATGATACTCTCTGGCATTTCAGGAACTATCTGTCATTGGGCAAGGGGCTTACAGATCAAAGACATTTTTGTTTCATGGATCTCTTAAGCATAGTTAGTAAAACTCAAAATGCAACTTTGTTGTCACACTTATCTTCTCTAGGTACATCACAAGGTTTGACCCACTTCCAAATATGGCTTAGTGGGCTGGGCTGAATGGGCAGGTGTGCTTAGCCACACACTTGCCACCCCTATTGTCCATCATTTCCACTAGGGTTTCTCTCCTAGTTATCACTCAGCTCTCCCTGCATCTACCTACCTACCTACGTATCATCAGTCTTATCCATCCATCCTCCATCTGTCCATCCATCTATCTCTCCATCCATCCATCCATCCATCCATCCATCCATCTATCCAACCATCTATCTTTCTGCCTAGCATCTATAAAGCATTTGAAGTTCCTGCTCTCATATGAAGTAGCTTCCTGGTGTCTCATACCAGAGAAGCTGCATTAGCAGAGTGACGCCATGCTGTGATCTGTCATGAAAATATATACCATCAGCCGGACCGTGGTAGCGCATGCTTTTAATCCCAGTACTTGGGAGGCAGAGGCAGGCGGATTTCTGTGAGTTCAAGGCCAACCTGGCCTACAAGAGCTAGTTCCAGGACAGGCTCCAAAGCTACAGAGAAACCCTGTCTCGAAAAACCAATATATATATGTGTGTGTGTGTGTGTGTGTGTGTACATACATATGTCTATATATCACCTTAAGTCTAAAAGTCTGGAAAACAGGGACCTAGAACTATATGCTACCCTGCTCCAGTTTCCGACTGCCCAACATCCTAGTTGAAGGTCTGCCTAGGCCTACTCCTCATCACAAGATGCCTGACCACTTACCAAAGCCAGTTAGACCTAAGACGGCTGCCAGCATAACAAGAGACAACACTACAATGTCATTTACAGGCTAAATATCCTTCTGGTCCCAGGGCCGGGAAGATAGCTGGGAAGAGCTAAGATGTGAGCAAACAGCAAAACAAACGCAGGCCACAGTCAGAATACCTGGAATTCTTTGTCTTTTCACGGGAGGGACACAGTATTCTTCTGCCCTCATTAGCCCGGCCCTTGCCTCAGCCCTGTTATCTGAAATCTGAAACTGCCCAGCCCCAAACAGATTGGGGAAGTTGCTCGGCAAGCTTATCTCCCTCGGCTCCTATTTTGGGCCAAGAACAAAAGTTTTCCGTGCTGCTCACGAGTCTTGTTATCCAGCCTACAACTTTAAAAGAAAACGGACTCAGTTTGGGATCAGAAACTGCAAACAACCACAGCAGGTGGTGGAATCTCTTGCAACTCAGAAAGGCCTGAGTTAAGTCCCCACCTGTCCTTGGACAGATTAACTCTACGTCCTCGGGTGCGCTTAACAAACAGCCACAATAATACATAACTCAGTCGACTGTGTGCTCACCTTCTTGAAGACGTGCTCACTAATACCTCTCCAGTAACGGAGCGATGCCCTCCCCCACCCCCACAGCCAACAGCCTGTACTACACGAATTGGCTCCCACTGGAGTCTTACACACGTTTATCATTATGGGAGTGTGGCTTTCACTTTGCTAAACACCTTACAGAACGATCTTGCAATCTTCTCAAATAATCTCCCAAAGCAGGCTCCTACTTGTACCCTGCTCTTCTTTCAAAGGAGGAGTTTGAGGCCAGAGCGACTGGGTTACTTAAGGCATCCTCCAATAGGTTCAGGCTCTTGATTCTGCACGATTGTTTTTCTACAGCCTCTTGCAGGTTTGGGCTTTCACACAACTTCGTAGAATTTTCCTTCCCGGACTCTGTCCGAGGATCAGCTGGCTTCTCTCTCTAGGCTGGGATTAAGTTGGGAGTGGTAACTTCCGGCCAGCCTTGCTTCACAGCCTTCACTCCACTGATTTACCTTCTCTCCTGGGAATGCGAAATCTCTTTGGGGGTGATCCTGTGACTCAGGGTCCTCCACACAGCTCCTTGTTTGAAATATTTCAGATGCTATTGTAATGGCTTAAGTAAAATGCTGCAGGTCCCCTTGTGGCTGCAGCAGGCAGAGGTCCAGAGACCATGGCAGGCCAGGTAGGCAGCAGGGTCCCAGGCAGGAAGCTGTGTGGTGGGTAAGAGACCAAGACAGGTAGGCAGCCATGCAGAGTGAAGTTGGATATTTATTTAGTGGGTTATGGAAGGGAAGGAGAGAAGGGGGAAGAGCAGAGCTGAGAAAGGAGAGAGAGAGAGAGAGAGAGAGAGAGAGAGAGAGAGAGAGAGAGAGAGAGACAGAGAGGGGAGAAGTGGGGAGAAAGGAGAGACAAAAGCTNTGGGGAGGGGAGAAGTGGGGAGAAAGGAGAGACAAAAGCTACCTCTTCAAGAAAGAAACAGAAAAGGAAAAGACTCATGCTGGAAGCTGAAGATCAGCTTGTCTCAGCAGACAGGGGAGGGAGTGGGTGTGGCTTGTCTCTTAAAGGGACTGGACAGATCATTCAACCGGAGTCCCGTACAGAGAATATCATCTTTATTGGGGTTATCTTCTTATGGTAGCTTTGTTGGCATCTCTTCCATGAACGAGGTTCTTTCCTTGGCACTACCTTATGTTGGCAAAGAGAAAGGAACAAAAAACAACCAACAGGTTGAATGTAACATCATCTCTCCCTGAGGATTGGTTGCTGGCCAGCTGTTTGGGGTTGTCACTTACCAGGACATGAAGACACTCAAGAACAGTGTGCCACTTGAAGAGTGTCCAGGACTTTCCCTGGAAACGAGAAAAGAGAAAGGTTTCAGGCCTGGTGTCTCATGAGGCCCATCTCAACCATTCATATTTGAATAAGGTCATAAACTTTTTTCTTAGGTCTGCTTTGTTCATTTTGTAACATGTAATTGGCGATCATACCCTCCTTCCAGGGTCTTTGAAGGAAGCAGATGAGATGAGATAGGCCAGGTGCCTGCCACAGTACCTCACATGCAAGGAGCACTTGGCAACATTGCCCTTATAGTCCTTGGGGTTTCTAATAGGCCAGGGAGAACATGAAGTGATGATGGTGGTTTTTTAATTATCTTCAGAATCGTCAGAGGAAACTTCAAAGGAAGTTTGTCTCCCATAAAAAATTATATGCTTCAGATTTTCTGGCTTTGAACAGTTGAAAATTAAACCAGCCCGGTATGGTGGCACATGCCATTAATCTTTGTTCTTCTGAGGCAGAAACAGGTGGATCTATATGAGTTTGAGAGGCCACCCTGGTCTACATAGTAAGTTGCAGGCTAACCAAGGCTAGTGAGATCCTATCCCAAAAAAAGAAAAAAAAAAAAAGGAAGGAAGAAAAAAGGAAAAAATGAACTGTATTTTCCAATTAAGTTAGTATATAACTGTAGAAATGCTTTCTTCTCAATTTGATGGTTTTAAATCTTTTGTTTTATTTTTGCAGCTCTTCAAATTAAACCCAGCTAGCTAAGTAGTCTACTGCTAAACTATACCTCTGCTTCTTAACTATTCTGTTCCTGCTTTGGGTTGGGGGGGGGTTGCTTGTTTGTTTTTTAAACAAAAAGTATTTCTTCACTTTTCTAGCTTTGCAATTTGACCAACATTATAACATTATTCACCTTTTAAAATACAGTCTGTTTCCTTTAGCTGTTAAATTAGGCTCTTGGTCACCCATAATAACACACACAATGATACTTTCTAAAACAGGAAACCACCCTCAAAACACTAAATTTTAGTGGCTCCAGTATAGGTCATATCTATGTTATCTGCTTAGGAGAGTCATAAGAAAAAGAATACTTCCAATCTGAAAGGAGTAACAACCGAATTTCTCCTTCTGCACATGACTACCCCAGACTCCATCTCACAGACCTCCGGTCTCTTAGATCCTAGACAGTGAACTATCACTGAGTCAACAGTGAAAACACACTGGTTTTATCTTACTGCCGCCCCCTTCCCACCTCCCTGCTCCAAAATTCCCTAAGTATCTGTGGACAAAGTCTGGTCCCACCTTCCAGTGTCTTCTTTATCAGTAAATGACAAGGTTCCCATGACCCTTCTCTAGCTGGTCCCCGCCTCTCCCTGTGACGTCTCCAGGTCACGTGAGGATCTGGCCCACTCCAAGCACTCACTCACACCATTGCTTCTCCTGTCAGTATTTCCTTTACTCTCTCCTCTAGTTCAATCCTGCCTCTCCCTGCTCCTTTACCTGTTTGTCCTCTCAGTGTCTGCATTTGTTATTTAAATCTTCATTGTCAGGAGTCTCAGGCTCCCAGGACACACACACACACACATACACACACACACACACACACACACACACACCCTCAAGTAGCTTTAGCTCTTCAGCTCAGATTACTTCTGCACCAAAAGGAGCTCTTAAATTTCCTGTACCTGAGTATATGTCCCCTGCTGGGCTGTTCTTGCTGGAGAACCAGAATTATTCTGCCTTCCTTTCTTGTGCACTGTGTTTTGTTTGTTCTGTGACTCTGCAGAAATATTTGAAGGCAGTTTGCAATAAGGATATCACACACACACACACACACACACACACACACACACACACACACACGGAAATCTGAGTAATTGAAAAAGACAAAGAAAATAAGCATGCAATAAGTATGCGCCTTCTATTTTCCTCCAGTTTCTCTCAATCACACTTTCTAAAGATTCACAGACTATGAAGATTCAGAGTCCCAATATCCACATTGGAGCCTGAGTTAAGAGTGACAGAGCAGTGACAGGTTGTGGTATAGACCCTCCATTAAAAAATAAAAAAAAAAAGTTAAACATACACTATGTTTGTTAAATGTAAGTTACAAGAAGGCATTGTTTTGGTCTGACCTCCTGCACTCAGCAAGAGATCAGGCCAAAAATAAAAAAGTTCTTATTCACAGCGAAGTTCCATATCACCAAACCACATTGACTAAGTTAATGTTATCAACGTTCTGAGAAATCAGAAGAGATAGAGAGCAAATTCCTCAAACCATTCTTTGTTTTAACATTTAGAAAAGGCGACCCGCAGTAGCCCTACATTGACCTCACCCAGTATTTCTGGATTGTCTATCACTCTGCCTCACTCTGAAACGACCAAGCGGCTTGTTCGTCGTTGCTTTTCCTTTCAATCTTTTTTTGATTATAAAGCAACTGCTCCTTTTGCTCAATCCATCAGAACAGTTTTGTTTTGGTTTGGTTTGGTTTTTTGCTTTTCGAGACAGGGTTTCTGTAGCTTTGAAGCCTGTCCTGGAACTAGCTCTTATAGACCAGGCTGGCCTCGAACTAACAGAGATCTGCCTGCCTCTGCCTCCTGAGTGCTGGGATTAAAGACGAATGGAGATTTGCTCTATTCTGAAGTTGAAAACAAAGTGAGCTGAGACCTTGGCACTAATGTGGCTCTAGCCATATTCTTTTACAATCACATGCCACACACTACTTCCATAGAACACTACTCCTATAACCGAAATTCCCGTCACCCATCTGACCTTATTTGTTAAATAAAAAAATTAAAATTGAAGGGGAGAATTCAAATCGTCTTCCTTCCTTACCAACATATAGCAAATTTGAAAAAAAAAAAAAAGCAGGATTTATGTAAGTCACATGGGACTGATAGAATCTAAAACCAGTTGACAGTTCAAACAATCTTAGAAGATGCTTAGGGAGTTGTTGCAATGACTTAGCTGTCACCTTAATGACATCTAGAATCAACTACAATCTAAAGTGCTCGGCATGCCTGGGAAGGTATTACCTACTCAGATTATCTGAGATGGAGAGACCCACCCTAAACCTGGGCTGTACCTTCTGATGGCAGTCCACATACACGCCCACAGACACGACGACATTGGAGAAGGAATCACTTGCTTTCTGCCTGCTCGCCCTTTCTGCCATTGGCAAGTCTATCTATCCTGTTGTTTATATTGGAACTACCTCCCTTTGCCTGGATTAGAACTCACTTCTTTGGGATTCAGCATAGACTGAAGACCAGTGGCTCTCTAGGGACCTTCTGGGACTCCAGCGCCCCCCCCCCCCCGGGGGTGTGTGTGGCCTGCTGAGACATCCTGCCTTGGAGACTGAACAACTGCCAAGCTTTATTTGCGAAACATCCTTTGTTGGACTACCTGGACCTCAGCCTGTAAATCCATCTAATAAATCCCGTATAGATACATATACATTTATCCAATAAGTCCCATGGATAGCTGGTTCTGCTCCTTTAGAGAACCCTGACCAACACAAGAGTTGTTTTTTTTTTTAACTTAAAAAAAGTTATACGGAAATTTTCATTATGCAGCGAGTTAATAGACTAATAATCAGGAAATGTAAAAATTATTCATCTTCATTGGTGATCTAGTGATTAAAATGTGACACCATTTTGAGGACGATGTAGCATTAAAATGGCGAGTTACTATATGTCCACTAAAGTGTCAAAAGTGAAAAATGTTTACAGCATTGAATTACAGGAGAGGAGGGAGAATAAACAGGGGCCTGCTCAGTGTGTAAATCACTACAAATGCCAAGACTGATTTTGTATGTATGGTGTGTGCGCACACGTGTGTGCAAGCACACACACGTCTGTGTGTTTGTGGGAGGCAGAAGATGTTGGGTATCCTGCTTATTCTCTTGGGGCATGGTCAGCCTCTCACTCTCTCACTGACCCTGCAGCTAGGCTGACAACCAGCAATCCTCGCTTACTCTCCTGTTGTCTCCTCTCCTAGCCCTGTGGCATTGGGGTGACAGGCAAGCAAGAGCACACCCAGCTTCCCCACCCTCCCTACTCCCAGTTTTTGTGGTTTTATTTCAACAGAAATAAAACACACACACGAGCCACCTCCTCATTTTCTTCGCTGTGCAGCCCGGTACTGGGATTAGTGACACAGGACCAGCTGTGCTGTTCTTTCTGTCATGGCTTTGTGGCTCTTGGGCAAGCCATTGTGAGCGATCACAGCGCACAGTAAACAGCATTTCTAGCTCCTTGACACTGAGGACCAGAAACTTCCAGAAGCCACCAGGTAACATGTACTTGGTTTTCTTGCTGCTCCAGCAACTGTTTTGCCCAAATCCACAAAGTCCTCCAAAAGCCAACAAGGAGACTGAGTTCCATATGTAAAAGCAAAGAGCCTTTATTTTATGCAAGTTTGCAAACTCTGTCTCTCCTTACGTCCAACATATTGGAATAAACAAAGAGCCCTGAGCTCATTTAGAGTTGGGTTTTTATAGTAGTAAAGGTGAGGGTGAGGGGTTTCTGAAGTTCAGGGCCCTTGATTGGCTGACATTTGTCCAAGGGTGTCCTGGTGAGTGTGTGCTGGCAGGTGATCCTATCTACAGCGGTTGGAACTTTAGGCATTTCCTTTGGATGGCCTGTTCTTGGGTGGTGCTCAAATAATTTTAGTTTATGGTCCTTCCTGCAACCAGGTATTGCTTCAGGGTAAACTACTGAGACCCAGGCCTCCATTAAACTTATCAATGGCTGAGTCCTACACTGGCAGGTAATAATGGTTGAAAGTAAGGAACTTCCTTTGGGTGATCTGTTTATATTTCGCTTTTCATGGCTGACTCCTACACAACCAATGTTGTTCATGAGGATCTGGCCCTTAAATCTTCTTCTCAGCCCATTGTCTATACCTCTGGGTTTCAGTCAGTTTTGCTTAGTTTTGACATGCCAGTTTCACTGGTTCCCCATGAACTTTTTGGTTCTCTTTTTCATAATCTCTTCACCAGAGGCAGGAGGGCAACCTTGATGCCTCGAAAAAGATGGCAGCCACCTCAAAGGCCAAGGAAGAAGGAAGGGACAGTAGTACACCAAGGACAATGGAACCCTCACATGCTTTTTAATGCAGATTCTAGGGATTTGAACTCAGGCCCTCATGCTTACACAAGTGTTTTTATTTGCTGAGTCATTCTTCAGTTCCTAGTACAACTACTTTGGTAAACATCATAGCAATTTCTTAAAAAGCTAAAACATAGATCTACTTCATAATCTAGCAATTCTATGCCTTATCTATTTATCCAAGAAAAAAATGAAAAGTTTGTCTATAGAAGCCCATGCATATAAGGGTTCATTGTGGCCCAATTTATATACAAATCCAGAAACAGGGGAGCAAGACGGCTCAGAGGATAAAGGGACTTGCTGCCAAGCCTCAGGACTCGAGTTCATTCTCCAGGATCACATGATGAAAGGAGAAAACAGATTCCCAGAGGCTGTCATCTGACTTCCCCATGTACACTCACAAATACACACACAGTACAATAAATAAATATAATAATAATAATTTTTAAGTCTAAATTTTTTTAGTTTTATTTTTTGTCTGTCTAGTATGTGAATGTACCATGTGTAAGTGTACCACAGGTACAGGTGTACATTGGTGTGTATGTGTGTGTGTGTACGCGTGTGTGTGTGTGTGTGTGTATGCGCACAATGCTTATAGATGCCAGAAGAGGGCATCACATGCCCTGGAACTGCAGTTAAATATGGTTGTGAACTGCCATGTGACTACAAAGAACTGAACTCCTGCCTTCTGCAACAGCAGCAAAAGCTCTTAACAGCTGAACTATTGCTCCTTAGTTTAAAACAAACAAATGGCCTCAATAGCAACAACCCAGACTGCCCTTTTACCCAGCTGTTGCTCTGTGAGCCTTGAAAATGATTGGCCTGACAAGATATACCTGTAGGTGCAATATATTTATAGAAGCAACCAACTACTTTCTGATCAGATTTGAGGCAAGATCCACAGAAGGAAATACACGACTGGTATAGAAAATTTGACCAAGAATCCATGGTTGAGTAGCTTATAGGCCCTGGTGGTAAACCTACTATACTATTATTATTTTACTAAATTGATCTGGTATCAAAATACTCTCTAAGCTCCTGTCTTTATATCCATATATTCCTCAGACCTCATCAGAGAAGTTTCTTTGTACAATGGATGGCGGTTAAAGCAGAAGCTCACAACTGATCCAAGTATAGAGTACCAAGTGTCTGTGGACTATTCACCCAAACATGGGACAACTACATCATATTCCTTCCTCCAAGGGCCTTCACAGAGAAGGTATGGGGAAAACGTAAGAGCCAGAGGTTGGGCAGGACCAGGGCACAGCATGTCTTCTACACACGACAGAGCCACTGCACTCATGAGTCCCTGTGGTTTCTGTGGTCAAACCAACATTCTAGCATGGAGGGCGGAAGGGTTCAGGAGTCCCAAGCATAACCGAAGAACCATTGCCCTTTCATGGCTTCTTAGGGAAGGAAAGTCAGTTTTTAAGGGTGTTTTCTCTGGTAGAGTGACCATGCTCCGGGGATGACTCCACACCCTTGAGTATATAAAAATATAATNAAATATGTAAATAAATATATAAATTTATAAATAAATATATAAAATTATGAAATTTTTAAAGAATTAATAAATATGTTTAAAAATTAAAGATTCAAATCTAGAAACAGGAAAATGCTAAACTTGCTATGGCATGCTTATGTTGTATAAAAGCATTCAGCAATAC